TTTTCTAAAAATGAAAAAGTCCAAATTCAAAAGTTAAATGGTTCCCTCTTCATTCTTTGTTGTCTTTTCCTTTGCTAATTTCTTCATTTCTCTCTCTTTCCGTCCCCCATGCCTATCTTTGGCGAACCTAAACCAGTCTTTGGCGACCTTCTCTACCTCACAATCTGTTGCTGCTGAGGTGAATCGATTTTTCCTCACAGAACCTTTTGAAATTAAGAAGCATTTAGAAGTTCTTGATCCAATATTTTATAAATGTATTCCGATACTTATACATGTAGTTATTCATCAACATATGGATGTTCACAAATACACTAATAGCATGTGTGAACACCATATTAATATCTTTGCATTATAAATTACATAAACCTAAGCATAAACCTAAACTCTGGACAATACTGTACAGCAGGAAATTAACTCGCGGAGTAAATATTCGCTATATTCGCGGAAAAAGAAATTCCGCGAATTCAACATATAGTGAATAATTCTTGAAAAGATTTATAAGGGTAAACTGAAATTTTATTATCATCTGTGATTAAATGTAGACTGTCATTATAATTATGAGAGTGTATGCAAACACGTAGTTGTTGGTGTTTTGTAAAGCTTATTAATTGTTAAATTAATTTCTATAGCTAACGGTTACGGTAGTTTGCCATCTAGTAGACGTGCAAGGTAATTATTTAATTAAACAAGCTTGTATAATTTCACCCGTGTGTATCACTCAGTCATTACCTTTAATCAAGGCACTTGCGAAGAAAACAGGGTAATTATAAAGACAATTAATTAATTTCAATTATATGATTAAAAGTTCAACAATTTGACTACTATATATTTTTTTATTTGGCCTCGGAAATAAAAATTATTCTGAATGCGTAACATTATTTTGACTTCAAATCGGGATCAGTCCAGTGTTTCGTTATTATTTAATCGGGCTCAAAATTGACACGATATATAGACTTGCCTCTCCTGTCTGATATGCGCGATATACAAGAACAGACTTTCGTAAGATAGAGACTGAAAATAAAGGTTCACACAATATATACCTAAAGAAAAATGCTTGCAAGTACTATTTAAAAAATGTATGTTTTTTTTCCTTTCCGCGAATTCAAACGACCGCGATTTGCTGAAAATTGAACAAATCGCGATCTTTTCCGACCGCGATTTTAACCTGCTATACAGTAATTCATTCTCTGTCCTTATTTATACTATCAAAGACATGAATCCAAATTGTTAAAGAAATGTCATTAAAACGTTCTGATTAGAACATTCCTCAATTTCAGGCTTTTGAATGGCGTTTTAACAGTTATAACTACTACTGTAAGCAAATGTGCTTAAACCACGTGACTGCCGCATCACATGACAAGTCTTCAGATAAAATCTAACCGTCCTCAATATTTGACTATTAACTATGATCACAATTACCCGATATAGATAAGCTGCTAAAATAATCGCCATCATTATTATGAATACATTTTTAATCGCCAAAATTTGTCGAAATTTCCATTTCTCACCTTAACTGTTCTGCCGCCCTGTATTTCCTACAAATATACATCGACTATTGTATCATTTCTCTGTAGTTTTGTCCTATTTATATCAAACTCTTGATCCTTTGATCTTTATGTATAATTCCAAAGTATGTATAATTGAAATTAGGCTTGAAAAGAATGTAAAAGGATATTACGACACATCAAACCATTTTAAGGTGAGTTTTTATTCTATTTAGCTTAAGGGGGGACCTATGTTGTTCAACGTCAAGCCAGCGTTATGTGACGTCACAATAGCGACGTTTGTTTTTACCTGTTGACTTTTGCAACTGTGATATAGGCATAACATTGTTGATAATCAATAATGTACAAAATTTACAAAAAGGAAAATTTGTTCATCACTAATCACAGTTTTATTTGATTTATATGGAGTTCTCTTCCTTCAGTTGATAATTCATAGCAATTTCTGTTGTGAAAAAATACCCCGATAATATGCTGATATAATAGTGCAAAAAAGGAGTTAAAATTCAGGAAAGAAAGCGGCTTCAATCAGGGGAAAATGTTTAATTTTATAATTACCATTAATCGATTTTCTGGAGAAAACTAAGAAAAAAATTAAGAAATGTACTTGTACGGGTGTATATTTGCTTCTTGATTTATATAGTACATGTAGATTTTATTGTATAAAGTCATTCCTAGGTTCTAATAGGCATTGATTGTTAACGGGGAAATGGGGGGGAGAGAAACAGAATGAATGGAATGTAGAATTTTTTTTATCTATTTAAATTGTTTCTAATCAAAACAAAATACTCGTTTTCCGCAAAATAGTTTTATATTCAGGTGTTTTTCAGTGCTTACTTACCCCTTTTTTAGTGCAAAAAGGTCAATATTTATGACACAAGAGTACAAAAATAAAAGGAAACGTCATATTTCTCGTTTATTTTATCATAAAGGTATACTTTTTTCTTTGTTGAAATAAAGAGATGAATCATTTCTTTCAAAAAATATGAATTACAGAATTTTCACACAAAGACTTTTTAAGATATTACCTGTTATACATGTCGGAATTGTAAAAAATACGACAAGAAAAATGGGGTAATACTTACATTGTGCTCCATTATAATTTTTCATGCGAGATGGATTTCAATGAATTTGTCTCCATTTTAAAGATACAAGTCATATAAATAAAATAAGTGTTGATTTTGAATATGATTTGACATTTTTGGTTCTTTTTAGCGCACATTTGGGGTAAAACAATAATGACTGAAAATAATCTATTTTTAGCATTTCACACTGTTTTTGCACGTGCTCCTGTGTAAAAATAAGCATATAAAGGTATTGTTTTTAATACCTGAAAATTAAGAACAAGTGGTCAGGAAAGAAATGTCAAAGTTTTGAAAATTTCACACAAAGACTTTTCGGACATAGGTCCCCCCTTAACGGATAGATAAACTGATATTAATGGGTCATTTCAAGGTCTATATTACGTTGTGAATAAGGACGATAACATTCATACCCTCAATATCCTCAAGTCCTGCAAATGTTTTCCTTCTAAAATGTGTTTCTTTTTTATTGAATTCTTATTCAAAACTGAAAATAAAGGAAGATACTATTTCTCGTGAATAAGATATTTAATAAAATTGAATTATACAGAACCGTCCGTCATCTGTAATGTTGGTATATAATGTAACAATCCCTACTACCTAACTATTACCCCAGTTAATGTTTTCTTATCTATTAGTAATTCCATACCTCCGTACAAAACACAGGTTTAAATGTCAATGTAAGCCTCTAATGTAAAAATCGGTGTTTCTCAAAAAAGCTCATTACAACGTTTATTAAAATTTTAATGTCTAAGACAAGATCACACTGTCAACAGGAAGACCTGATATCGAGTCGATTATTTAAGAACTCTGATTGAGACATAAGTAAAATAGTAACTGGTAAGATCATTTTGATAATTTTTTTTATCAATATGCTTTTTTTCATTTGCAAATGATAGTATTTTAAAAATAAGGATAAAAATTTAAGATATTCAAAATACAAAAAAATGAATCGTTAAAATAGTAGTATATCTACGTTTTTATGATTTAAGGATGAAAAAATCCCGAAAAAATTCAGGATTTGTTCTTAAAATAGTATAGGTAAAAATATGTTCATTCATTTAGTGGCATTCAAAATGATGTCATAAAGTCAAATGAAGTCTTATTTCTCACATGATTTTTTAACGTTAACGCGGTGCGTCTCAAGCTTACATTAATTATGTTTAAATCCTGATTAGTTGAAAGCACAAATATTCACTTTTAAAGAAGGAAAATACTGGACTTGCTCTTATCCAAAAAAAAAAAAATAAATAAATACTAAACAAATTGGTCATGATTGTGATAATGATGACAGTTATCACGGGTAACAGATATGTTGTCCAAATAAGGTGTACAATAATATTTTTTTTATCTTGAGTATATATACGAAAGCCAAAAAGATCCAGTTTGAGGAAAACTTAATATTATCTCATAATAACGAAAATATTACTATAGGATTAAACGTTCTTTTTGAAAAATTTATCGATGTGTAAACTCTTGACATTTTACTCACAAACTGAATAAAAGTGCGAAGCACTTTTATGTTAAGTTTGTGAGTAAAATGTCAAGAGTTTACACATCGATAATTTTTTCAAAAAGAACGTCCAATTCTTATAATTCCAATATCGAATTTTTAAAAATATTCAAATTATTTCTCTTTGAGGCCTCCATACAATTCGTTAGTTCTGGACGGCGTAGGAATACATTTTACCGCAAAGGAACGTAATCGAGATGAATTTCGATAGAGTTCAGCTTAAATTGTCAAAACAATCGATAAATAAACTTATAAAGACATCGAATGTCGTTTAAGTCAACACATATCGTAATTACGAGTTTACTTCAGAATAGTTCGTCCTTGACCATGGCCATGTTGACATAAACGACAACTCTCCCAAACAGAAAAAACAGCCTATCGGATCATGCTAACAACTCATGTGTAAATCATGGTTTTGATATGATTTCGGTATAGGAAAATTTCACATGCAAATGAGCTAATGGATCATGGTTCTGAGATGATCTGTTTAACTAAAAACTAGCAAGAAAACCATGATCCTGGTATGATCTGTTGTAGCTAACAACTCGTATTAAAACCATGATCCTGGTATGATCTGTTGTAGCTAACAACTCGTATTAAAACCATGATCCTGGTATGATCTGTTAAATTGAACAACTCGTATTAAAACCATGATCCTGGTATGATCTGTTGTAGCTTACAACTCGTATCAAAATCATGATCCTGGTATGATCAACTCAGATCATAGGAAAATTCTACTTCTTAGAATTTAACTAAACACTTTGATATTTGCAATAAAGTTCTCTTTAATATTTGATAAATAATTTCAGTTACCAAAAATCAAGAAAAATATTATACACATATGTCACATGAACTATGACGTCATATAAATATAATCCCAACAAATGATCTTCCATAATAAGATGACGATCTTAATATAAAACATTATCCAAACTATTCACTGAATTTTATAAGAACAGAATCACAGAAATCCATTCTTCTTAAAGAATAATCCGGAACTCATTGATATAACTGCTTATTTATGATTCTGCAAAAGCATATAATTACAAAATTTGTTCACTACAGAATCAGCAGAGTGGTGGATCTATTATTCAGAATCACAAACACTGAAAAGGCTCCCAATGAAGTAGTCTATCCTCTGATATAAGCTCTTTATATGTGTATATAAGCACCCTGAAAAGAAACGTACAGAAAGTGGTATTTATTTATCGATCAACATATCATTATCTTTAGATCATGAAAATATGAAATATTCAAGTACTTTCCCCATTTCATTAGTGAAAAGAATTAGATTAATCACCAAAAGAATAATATTGTTGAAATGTAATATTATTTACGTACACAAATTTTGTCTTCACCAAAGGCGTGGGTCTTTTGAATTTGGTAATTTGAATGCAACTCAGATGTTAATCATGACGATGGAAATGTCGGTAGCTGCAAAAGAATTTCACTTTTATAAATAAACATTTTATATAACGATTAACATGTACATGTACAACAAATATTTGAATCAAGGAGGTCAATTTGATGCTTAAATTAAGTTTTCAATTCAAATCCATATAAGCTTTGCTATGTCTCTTCTACACATTTACAAAGAAAAATTAAATCATGCACTTGCTGGTAGAAACTAGAAATTTAAAAAGGTCAATAATAGAATTAATGAATTATACTCACCGAGTATAGAGTTAATAGTCCAGCACTTATTTTTATTGCTTATATGATGCAAAGGCTTTTCTTTTAAATCGGCAACAAGAAAACGCGCACATCTTGTTTATCAGAATTCAAATTCTGACCTAGATCAGCTGCAAACCACTGTACTACAGCGTGCTGCCCAGCAGGAGAATTGCATAACAAGGTTACTATGACTCTGAAACTGACCAGTGGTCCAATCCTAATCTGATGCCTCAAAGTTAGATTGGGAGTGGATCGCAAATATTACATGAAGAGAAAGAGTTTTAATAAAATCCTGGCTACGTTATTTAAACAAAATACAGAATCGCAAGAAAATCATAGCAGACTCATTCCCCAGAAACAAATCATATCAGGATCATACTTCCTTATTTGTCAATTATGATTTCAGTATGATCCATTTAATGGATCATGTCTAAATCATAGTTTAAAAATATGAATTTGTGAGTTTGATATGATTTGTATGTGATTTTGGCATGATTTGTTAAGAACAATTTTTGTTTGGGCTCATAGCGAAAGTTGCAGACCGACGACGCCTTCGATTTGCACTTGTTTGTTCAAAGATTGAGGAACAATATAGAAAGTAAATATGAATTTGATGCTTATAGGGCAAGAGTTTGAGGTACGTTTCTTTTCCCTGTCTAAACGATACAAACTGAGTTGATTATATCTTCGTATTATGAACGTTGAGACAGCGATTTTTAAAATTCACACTCGTGATCGAACAGTGACATTAACATTTTCATGGCGTCTGTCAGCTGGGCAGCCTAGAATGTCGCCAGTTTTGTTTTAATTAATTAAATTTGAAGTTTCTTGTATTTATAATTTATCCAAAACAGACAAGAAATAACTGCTTTCGTTGTTTAAACGATAAACTACATGTAGAAGCTTAGTCAAGAAAGTAGTTCTGATTAAAAAAAAAATATTTATCGATGTGTAAAAATTTTCTTCAACGTGTTCTCGTCCAATCAAAACACAGGAAATCAATAGATACAATGAACATGATGAAGATTGGAATTATGTAGCTTTAACAGGAAGATAATTCTTTTTTTAAAGCAAATTTGTTTCTTGTTATAACCAAAAAACGCTTTTGATTTCTCTGTTAAATGATTCTTTAATTTTATGGATATTCTTTCCGAGTTAGAGCCGTGTTGTTTATAGAATTTTCTTAAATCACTCACTGTTATTCATCTTCACCTCTAACACAAGTCTCCTTTTACATTACGTTTCCCAGGCTTTTTTTCACGATTTCGATATTATATTTGCCAAGAAAGCCTCAGAATCGATCCCAATACAAAAAATAGGAATTCGCAACTTCCAATTGAAGACGGCATTTTCGAGCTATTTTTCGATACTAATGCAAACAAAAATAAATGTTAAACATAAAATTTATCCATGATACAATCATGACAATTATACCTTTAAATTTACTAACATCATTTTTTATTGCTTCTTTATAAAATATACAGACCTTTAAAAGAAAAAACTCAGACTGACGAGATTTCATTTCATTTCGTGGGCATTGAAATTCCTGTATCAAAATGTAAAGTAATATTTTCTTTTCATCGATATTAATGAATACTAGTAGCATTGTGTTATTGATTAATTGTGAGTTCGGGATTTAATTAGGTTTGCAGGTATCGAAAAGCAACTCCGGTAGAGACGAATAATGACCCCCATCGAATAAGACCTGGGGCTCCTTTTTTAACGACAAAAATGATCACGTAGCCGTAAAAAAAATCATTTTTGTATTTAAAAAAAAGCCACAGGGATCTTTATTTTATATATGAGTCCTAAAAAATAGACCCCCATTGAAAAATGGCCCCTTTTAGAGTGAAGCAAAATTTAAAAGTTTAAATTGATGCAAAGCATCAAATCGGCCACAAAAATATATAATAAGCATTTCAAAGAATTTACAAAACGAATTAATAAAGAAAAAATACCGTATAAGTGGAAATTTTGACGAGACGCAAAGTTAGCGATTTGTCCTTAAAAAGTGGTATTCAATTTTAGCGTATGTTCTGTTAGCGATTTTAAAATGCTTACTAAAGAAGCAATTACATATAATTTTTAGCGATATTCAATTTTAGCGATCTCAGGACCCTCGTTAATAATGCCAAACTGAAATCCTCGCTAAAAATCCTTCTAATACGGAACATGTACATATCTGTATTGAATTTAATGTGTGATCGAACGTAGTAAATAAATTCGTGTATATAAGATAGGGCATCCTCGCAAGCCAGAGGTCCTGAGTCAAGACGGTGACTTTGGTCCAAATGGACCCCTGACGTACGAGGATGAAGATAGGATAGTATCACCATAGCATTATTCAATTAAATACAAATGCCTCAAGTATAAAAAATGCCTAATTTAGAAAGCCTGAATGGTGACAAGAAGGACATGTAACATGCTGTTATCTGATATGCATGTTTTTGAATTTGAATTCAGTCTTTGTCATGAAAATGAACTTTAAAAAAATATTTGTTTTTATTCTCTCGACCTCTATCAAAATGATTAAGCATTTCAGTTCACCAACTTTCACTCGATTTAACAGTTTTTTTAACAAATCGATTAAAAATGCATTTCATGCAAGTTCAAAATTGAGTACCCGGTAATACAGTTGTAAATGGTTAAAACTTCCAACTTAATGCCTAATGATATGAGGCAAAAATATAAGGCATTAAGAATGGTAGCCCAGTAGAAGGACAACCCAACCAATGGTGTTTGTGATCTGTTGCCATCCTAGAACTATAAAAGACTCAACATTTTTGGTTGAAAGCATTCTTGTTACAATACAGAACTGGATCGCAGGTAAGTGTTATTCGAGCTTTCAAAATGGGAGAAAACATTTAAAACGTCTACAAAAAAGATTTTTGCAAAAATGTTTCCGAAAAATTATATTATTAATGTGAAAAGATTTGTTAATACAGTTTGTAATGATCTTTTCCTATTTGCAGAATTATCATAATATCTGAATGTTATATAAGGAATGTACGAATTCACTAAGAGATTTAAGAAAAAGTAATGAAATTATGCCTAACAATAATGCAATATTTTCATTCTTACTGGAGAGTTAATCACATTCATATATTGTTCAGAATTTACATATAGCGTCTTAAATACAGTATCCTTCTAAGACCGGATATTTTAACGATGTTTCAATTTGTTGGGAATGATTAAGAGAACTATAAAAGGTAGAAATATTTTTTAAAATGATGATAATGTATTTATAATCAAAATGAACGCCTTGATTGTGTTAGCCTCTGTTCTAGTCTCTTGTAATGCGGGGGTAGCTACGATTCAAAAGGAGCTCACCATTACGACGATGGGGGACATAGTGGTGTATATAGAGGAGGTTTGAGAGGAATATTACAAGGAGTAGGACAATTACTAGGAGGAGCAGGAGTAGGCGGTGGTGGTTTAGGAAGTGAAGCAGGTGGTTGTTTAGGAGGAGGAGTATAGGAGTTCTAGGAGGGGGACAAGAGCTAGGAGGAGGTGGTTTAGGAGAAGTAGGAGGATTTTTCCCCAGGTACGTCACATTTTTTTCTCCAAAGAACAATAAAAAATACACACACGAGGCAAGCATTTATTAATTTTTTCAGTTATTTTTAGTTGTGCCTAAAGTTCTTATTTAAATATGTTCAACAACGAAAAGAAAACAGAACCAGATATCAGTAACTGGGGTCTAATGTTTTCAAAAGATATTGAAAGATCTGAATATATGTATAATAAATTTAAAGGAAGCATATACAGTAGGGGGACAAAAGTGTTGAGAAAAAAATGGCGTAACTAGAATAAATTATAAATCCGCGCGTATTAAAAGTCGTGTATTTTTGTTCAGAGTTGGAATTTTGGAAATGCCCCTGAAATATAAATAGGTCAGTACAAGTGACGTATAGCATGACGTATATTTCGTCATCTGCTATAGTTTTGTTGACGATCTATCTCGGTAACAAGATGGAGACGAAACGTCAGGAAATCTCACAACCCTTGAAACAAGTTATTGTGGAACTTTATTTAAACGGAGAAAAAATGTGGAGAATTTGCCAAGATCGGGTCGGCCTCGTTCTATCGACGATCGGGACTATCGTAGGCTCCAGAGGATTGTTAATAGAGATCGGAGAGCACCCTAAGGAGAAATTACAGCGTGATGTAATGAAAACAGGGCAACATCTGTGTCTCAGAAGACTGTCAAACGTAGACTTAAAGAATATGGTTTCACTAGAGGTGTGTATAAGAAAAAAGTTGTGATTAAAAATGTAAATCGAAAGAAACGCTTGTCATGGTGGGGTGTACAACTCAGTGGTCCAAAGTTATATTCAGCGATGAATCTCAGATATGTGTCGGGAAAATAATCGTATTTATGTTTGGAAAAAAGCAGGCGAGTGTTGGACACCAGACTTAGTGCCACGACAAAATGGCCGCAAATTCAGTATCATGGTGTGGGGATGCCTGTGCTTCGGCGGTATCGGAACTTTGTGTCGCGTGGAAGGGAACATTAATTCAGAAAGATATATTAACATCTTAGATTCAAACCTCTGGCCAGTTATAGTGCGGCATTTCCCACAAGGAAGTTACCTCTTTTCAGATGATAACGCCCCGTACATTATGGAACGCCAAATTAACATATATTCAAATATTTGTACCTATCTTCAAATAATTGCACCTATCTTCAAATAATTGTACCTATCTTCAAATGAATTGACGATAGGTACAATTGAATTAAAGATAGGTACAATTGAATTAAAGATAGGTACAATTAAATTGAAGATAGGTATAAATAATTATACCTATCTCTAAATAATTATACCTAGGTACAAATGAATTATACCTATCTTTAATGGAATTACACCTATCTTCAATTCAATTAAAGATAGGTTCAATTGAATTATACCTATCTCTAATTCATTTGAAGATAGGTATAATTGATTTAAAGATAGGTACAGTTGATTTGAAGATAGGTTTAATTAAGACATATTCACAAAGGATTTGAAGATATGTACAATTCAATTATACCTAGGTTCAATTCGTTTTATGTTGTTGGTAAAGAATGAACGCTCCCTTGGAGACAATATTGAGTATGGAGGGAAACGCACAAAACCTACAGAGCGACGACAACAAGGACGAAAGGAGAAATAAAGGTTAATTCAAAATGTGCAAAAAGTATAACATACTTATAAAAATACACATGTATATCAAGTAGGTTTATCTTGTATTGCAGCCAGATGAAGATTCCGATAAACTTTCGCGCCAGCTGTGACGTATCGGAAATGAC